TCCCCAAGCTCCATGAATATTATTTCTTGCAGACTACCAGAGCCTGAGGGGTTTGTGGAACCCCACAGAGATCAGCTGCACTGATGGAACAGCCTGGGGCTTTCAATAGGCATCTAAGTGGTGTGCTGGAGAGTTTTATGTCAACTTGACACGAGCTAAAGTCATCTGAGAGGTGGAAGCCGCAATTAAGAAAAATGCCTCCATAATATCTGGCTGTAGGAAAGCTTGTAGGACATGTCTTTAGTTAGTGATTGATGGGGGAGGGCCCAGCCCATGGTGGGTGGTGCCATCCCTGGGCCGCTGGTCCTGGGTTCTATAAGAAAGCAGGCTGAGCAAGCCATGGGAAGCAAGCCAGTCAGCAGCACCCCTCCAGGGCCTCTGCATCAGCTCCTGCCTCCAGGTTCCTGCCCTGTTTGAGTTCCTGTCTTGACTTCCTCTAATGATGGACTGGACGTGTAAACCCAATAAACCCTTTCCTCCCCAACTTGCTTTTTGGTCATGGTGTTTCATTGCAGTAGTAGTAACCCTAACTAAGACAAGTGGGGAGATAGTCAGAGATAGCCCTCAAGCTATGGAAAGTGAGCCTTTATCTCGGTAGTGTCAAAATTAAACTAGGTTAAAGGACACCCAGTTGGAGTCTGCCACAGCAATGGCTGCTTGGAGTCGTGGCTGGCGTCGAGAGAAAGTAGCAGGTGGCTAGTGTCAGAGGTGATCTGCATTGTGGGGGTGTGCCAGCAGGAGCTGAGGCCTAGCTCTGCCTTTCCACTGCATCTCCACGGTGTTGGCCAGACTTATGGGATACATGCAAATGCAGTGGGCATTCATTTGGACTCCTTCGACTTCCGTCAGCTTTCGTTAGTTACTTTACTCATCGTTATGACAAAATACCAGACATAAACAGCTTCAGGGAAGACAGCTCTCCTGGGATCACTCTTCAGAGATCTCCATCCAGGTTTGCCTGGCCTCGTGCATAAGAACAGAGCATCATGGTGGTGGGAACATGTAGGGGAAGAGGCTGCCTATTCACCTCATGGAGTATAAGAAGCAGAGAAAGGGAAGGGGCAAGAGACATGGTGTAACCTTCAAAGGCACACTCTCTTAGATGTAGTTCCTCCAGCAGTCTCCACATCCTCAAGTTTCCAGAGCTTCCCAAAATAGTGTCACCCGCTAGGACCAGTGGTGAACGTTCAACACGTGAACCTGAAACCACAGCACTAATCTTTTAAAAAATGATTTTGTGTGACAATTAGAGAACTCTAAGTACTGAGGGGATGCCAGTTGCAAAGGTTTGGAGTTAATCTTGGAGGCTGTGATAATGGACCTGAGTTATGTGAAAAGTGGGAAGAGTCAGTATCTTTTAGAAATATGTTCTTGCCATACAACTGGCTACAGTAATGGCCTCCAAGGCTCCCTGTTTCAAGGTTATTTGCATATCCTCTCCTACTTGAAATCTGGCTTAGGCTGCATGACTTGTTTTGGCTAATGAGACATTAGCCAACATGATGCAAGCAGGGGCTTGTGAAGTCCTTGCATACTGGGGCTTGCCTTCTCTTGCCGCGGGCAACTCTTGGAATGCCTCCACTGCTGGAGCAAGCCCAAGCTAGCCTGCTGCTGCTGAGGCTATGTGGAGAACTGAGCCACCCTGCCTGATGGCCAGACCAGTGAGGGAGACCATCAAAGGCTCTGCAATCCATGTCTGAGAGCTTAAACAAAAGCGGCAGAGGAACCATCCATTGGATAGCTCAAGTCATCAGACTCCACTGTCAGGATTCAATAGTTCTACAGTCCCGATGCGTGGATGATCTTACAGATGTCCGGGGATTTGCTTCTGAAGGTGGGTAAATACAGATGTCGGTGAAAGGAAGCTGGTTCTATGCTGGCAGTGAAGCTGGTGAGGGTTTCATCTTGTTACACCTTTGGTAATATTTGGAATTGCAATTTCCAGGAACAGAGAAAGAAGGAAGAATTAAAAGAGGAGGGGATTGGGAAGATGGTTCAGTGAGTAAGGTGCTTACTGTGCAAAGGTGAGCCTCTGAGTCCAGATCCCCAGAACCAAAGTAAATCTGGGTGTGGTCACACACACACACACACACACACACACACACACACACACACACACACACACACATCTGTAACTCCAGCACTCCTACAGAGAAATGGGAGGCACACACAGAATTCCCAGAAGCTCATAAGCCAGCAGGTCTGGCGTATGTACAAGTGGGAGACAAGGGCCAACCCTCGAGGTTATCCTCTGACCTCCACACCAATGCTATACACGTGCAGGCTTTCACACACACATACAAAAAAAAAAAAAGAAAGAAAGAAAGTAAGATTGGAGGGGAAGGAGAGGAAAATGAGCCTTCAATCTATTAACAGATAAAATCAAGACACAAAGAAGCCAAGAAAAATTTTACAGTACCACAGCCAAGTCCAACCAGAGCTCGTTGCTGGCTCTCTTACCAGCAATTACACAGAAAAGGTACACACAGGGATCATCACTTATTGCTTGAGAAAAACGTGTAACCACTCAAAGACAACAGGAAAGGCGAGACTGTTGATGACAAATGTTTTTTTCCCCCTATTCTTTGAGGTAAAACATGTTCTGCCATGTGTGTGCATTGTATTTCATAAAAGATCATCAAAGATGCTCCCTTCCACACCCTGCTCCGCTGCTGTTTGGCACCCACAGCTTGTTCTGTTTTCAAACGTGTGTAATAACTATGACAGAGATAAGCAGGGCTACAGTACCATGTGCCAGGATAGCAATACTAAAAATTCATCTGCAAGTCCAAATATATTGAAGTTGTCTCTTTCCCACACATTCAAAATGAGCAAGGCTTTCATTATTCATCAAATGGGGAAATTAAGCAGTGCAATTATCTGTCTATTGCCCCAGGATAGCTTGGGCACCGTTTAATCAGCTATGAGAGGCTGCAGACTGCTTCTGACCATAAACAGACATTAAAGAGAGTTACTTCATAAAAAATAAAATAAAAATAAAAAAAAAGATACTTCCTGGTCTTTATACGCAGGGTTGGTTTCCCTGAGAACTTCTGAACCTTAGAACTCGGCTGGAGTTTAGGGAGAGGAAGGAAGATTCTAGAAGGTGATAACTAGACTAAAAAGCCAAATCCAACAAGGTTAAACCAAATTGCTGTGTTTCTCATAACTGAATTGGCAGGGCCCCTGCCTTGCTTTTCTTGGGAGTGGTATTCAAGAGGCCCACAGGGCTCTGTTTTTATGTTTGATGACTGGTCTGAAATCCTAGAGCCTTGGAGCCAGCTGGCAGAGCCTGGTGTGGCCCATGTGTGGCCAAGGGCAGAATCAGCAGTGCTGGCCAGTGCTCAATCCAGTTCTACAGGTCACTGTAATAGGCAAAGACATCCTGGGTGGGCAGAACTGGGCCCCAGTTCTCCCTCCTTCAAGGCCTGCAGGACCCGAACCTGAATCTTAGAAGGTTCTGATTATCTGTGGGTCACACTCAAAAGTCATATTACTTTGTCCTGACTATTTGCCATTTTCTTAGCAAGAGAAAAGTTTTGGTATAAAGGGATCACTGGGTGGAGATAACGGGGAAGTTGAGAGTTCAAGGCTCAGGGTAGGGTTAAAGTTTTTTGACTCTGCAGCCCCTCGGATTAGCCGACTGGGTGCCCCCCAGGAACGGTGGGTGGGGACCCTTCCTCCCTCCCACACGAGGGGGAGGGCGGGTATGAAGAGAGACAGGATATCTCCCTCCTCAGCAGTTCTGTCCGACTGCAGCCTGCTGCCCAAGAGAGCTCAGCCTGTTACTTTCCCAGAGCCTCTGCAGCCCCCGGCACTGACAAATGTCACTTTTCACCCATTTCCTCTCTCTCCTCTTCTTCCTGTTCCACTTCCCTGTCCTGCCCCTTGGGGCATTCCACTGCTTGCACACACAGGAGGAAAGCTCAAAAGCTAAAGGCAGTCCTGGGGACAACTAATGTTCGCCAAGCAGTGGGGCCAACCTAGATACAGGCAAAAAGGGGGTGGAGGGGTGGGGGCAGGGGGGGTTGCCAGTGCAGCCGTGCTAAAGGGGGCTTGAGCTGAATACACAAAAGGGTGTGTGTGCCATGGTGCAGTAAACACAGACTTCACTTGGCCAGGAAATACCTTCTCCAACCTGGCAGTCCTGCAGGGAGACTGGGCCAACCCTGAGCCCCCCTAGGTCTCCATTTTCAGAGAGGCTCAGTCAGCCAAAGCATTGGCTGAGGCCAGCCTCCCACATCTAGCAAGGAGGGCCATGGCAGGCATAGACTGTTGGAGGGAACGGGGTGGGGCTGGGAAATATTCAGTGAGAGCCTTACTTATCCTCCTTCTACGGAGACCCCAAACGGGAGAGCTCAGAGGGGTTGGGACATTGTCCGCCATTACCGGTACACTGACTAGTTGAGTAATGCAAGGACTAGCCCAGACCCCCAGTCCCATAGGTCGCTGGACTACCAAAAGGCTCAGCACCCATACTGCTTTGGTGGCCAGTTCTTGCTCCAAGCCATCCTACAGAGGCAGACACCTCAATACTGCTAGAGCAAAATGTAGTCACGGGTGCAAGGTGGCCTTAGCAGTGGCCACTGCCAGGGCCTCTGGAGTCAGAGCCATCTAGACATCATCAGTCCCTGGAGGTGGGGGATGGGACTCCCTGCACCCTACCCCGCCCCACCCCAGGAAGCCGGCTCAGGGTGCGGAGGCGTGTGGCTGACACCAGGGGGCAGGGCGGATGATGGCACCCGGAATGGGAGCTGCCCAGAGGGAGACCAGGAGAACCGGCGGACTGAGGGATCATGGGGGCGTCACTCGGGCATCGTGCACACCCGTCCTCTGCTCTAAATTCCCAGAGCAGTGCAGCCAGACATGCGACATCTCCGAAGTCAACCTGCGGGGGCCCCAGCCACTGCGTGTGCCACAGCCTCGCCCCACCCCGCTGCTCAAGCCCCCCTTCCCGCTGTGGGCGACCCCGCCCACCCGTGCCTGCGTGTCACGCGCGGATGCCACCTACTGTCGCACGGGAGGCATCAGCGAACAGGAGCCCTGTCGCCGAGCCACAGTCCGGTCGCGGCCGGCGCTGACCCACTTTCCCTCCCGCCTCCCCAGCCAGAGCCCAGAATAAACGCAGCCACACAGCAGGGTGGGTGCCAACCGCCCTCCCTGCCCCCACGCCCCCCTCGCGTGAGAGGCTGGAGAAGGGAATGAAAGGAGGCTGAGGGAAGAGGGAGGGGGGGAAGGAAGCCAGAGGGAGGAAGGAGAGGAGGGGAGGGAGGGAGAGGGAGGTCGCGCCTGTGCAGGCTGACAGCTACTGAGGAAACCTTGAAACCTGAAGTGCGTGACAGCCCCAGGCTAAGGATTCCAGAACCCCAACCCTCGAGCTCATGCCCTAAGAAGCTCCAGATTCTTTCTGCACACTCATCTTCTGGGTCAGTCTTCCCCAGGCTTGGACATTTATAGACAAGACCACTTATTCATTGACTGTGAACTTGGGGAGCGATGGGCCCATGTGCAAGAGAAGATGACATCAACCTGGTACTGGGAAGCACTCGTCCTGAGGCCTCCTTCTCTGTCCTCAGAGGATGCTGGAAGGCACTTTGGGGGGCCTAGCTGCCTGACGTGACACCCGAGAAAGTTCTCTGTCTGGTTCAGGGGCTCTATGAGTGTTAACGCATGTCCACGGAAGTGAGTTTGCAAACCTACTCTCCTAAAAAGACCTCCACCAAGGGCAGGGATGTATGTTAATACACTCTCCACAGAAACTGAAGCAGAATGTTCTAGAGATGAGGGCAATAAAGTATTCACCAAATGGCAAGCCATGGTCTGAGTCTTGGCACCCCCGGCTTTAGCCTCATGTACTTCATAAAGGTTCATTCCTGTCCTCCGAATTTTTCATAGGAGGAGCTTGAGGCACGGAGAGAGTGAATCGCCTGCCTGGCTCACACAGGTAAGACAGCCAGGATTGGAATCTGTCTCCAGAGTCTGTAAGACAAAAACCAGGCCTTTCTGTAACGTATGTGATACGAATTGTTTTCACACTAAGAGTGTTGCTTTCCGCCACCTTTCTAAGACACCTAAGGAAGACTCGGCAGCCTAGCACCTGAAGGGTTTATAGGTTTTAAGAAGAGTGGGGGTCCTGGAGCCAGCCTGCTCCAAACTTGACCCTCCCCACAAACCCCTCGGGTCATAGGTGGGGAAGAGCCAAGGGCAGAGACCCACACAGACCTGGGAAATGGGCTAGGTGAACTTTGGGCTGAGACACACCCACACCCACATGTTCTGGATGTCCCAATGGGAAGCAGAATAAAGTGTGGCCTGAGTGTGGCTTTGTCCAGATGTGGTATCCTGCCTGGTGGTGACAAGGACCTAGAGTCGGTGTGTGGCTCCACACTGTCTAGGACCCTATGGGTGGGCTGAAGATTCCAGACTTGTTTACTATGCTCATCCTCAAAGATCTCATCTTGGTTTGTAATTTTGATCATCAAACATTTCACAGAGTATTACAAACGAGAGGGGCCAGCAAGACGGCTCAGTAGGTCAAGCACTTGCTGAGCGAGCCTCCTGACCTGAGTTCAATCCCCGGAACCCACAGTAGGGATAATGAGAGAACCATTTAACAATGTTGACCTCTAAACCTTCATGTGTGCACCATGACACTGGCAACACACACACACACACACACACACACACACACACACACACACACACACACACACACACATCACACACAACAGTCAGCAAAAATGAATAGAAACGATTGAGGAGGAGAATTCTTTATCTTTTAAAAAGGATGCTTCTTGGTTTACAATAAAGTTGTACTTCAGTAAACCCACTGCAAATTGAAAACAGTTTAAAGAGAAAGTGACTTGGGCTCATCTATCCAGTGTGGTTTTTTATTGTCAACTTAAGGGGTCTAAAATCACCTAGAGACAAATCTCTGGGCCAAGCCCTGAGGGAGTTTCCAGATTATGGTCACAGTGGAGGGAAGACCCACCTTAGCTGCAGACAGTCCATTGCGTGAGGTGGGATCCTGGACTGAATAAAAAGGAGAAGGCAAGCCTGGCATCAACATCGCTCTCTGCCGCCCGGCTGAGTACATGTGACCAGCTGCCTTGTGTTTCTGTTAGCGTGTCTAAACCTCCATCTTAGACTCTCCCTTGAGCTGTGAGGTGAAATAAACCCTTCCTTGTGCTTCTTTGGTCCAGCATTTCACTACAGCAACAAGAAACGTAACTAATACAGCGGTGACTCTCACAGCATCCAGAACGCTGCAGAGGTGCAGCCCTTTCTCATCCTGCCAGAACCGACTGGAGCTGTGGTTCATTGGCACACCAGCGTCATTGAGAATCCTGCTGAGTATCGCCAGCCCGGGAAGAGATCAAAACTGAAATGCCAAAGGATGGCTTTGACCGAACGAGTGTGCCTTAGGCACCACGATAAAATTGGGCAACTGTAGGTCCAGGCACCATGAAACTGGGACCGTGTGTGTGTGTGTGTGTGTGTGTGTGTGTGTGTGTGTGTATGCGTGTGTATATGTATGTGTGTGTATATGTATGTGTGTGTATGTGTGTGTGTGTGTATGTGTGTGTGTCTGTGTGTGTATGTGTGTGTATATGTATGTGTGTGTATGTATGTGTGTGTGGCGTAGCTTATTGGCTCTGCTCCAGAGAACCTGAGAGACAAAACCCTGTTGGTTCTAACCTCTCGACTGCCAGGTTTCTTTGATATGAGAACAGGACCTCTCCATGACAGAACTGGAGGCTGGTTATTTTCCATGCGAGCAGCCGCTTCTAACTTTGGCATCCGGGACACTTCTGTATGTGAAGAATCCTTGCCTTCTTCACATGACCCTCCAGGATTTTTCTGTACAAGGGCGTTAACCTTTGACTATTCCGTGTGCTGTATTTTCTTGCTGGAGAGCATGTGTCTCTATTTTGTTTGGAGGTAGCTTCCGTCCTAGAATACATTTTTTACGTTTGCTTGCTTACCTTATGCCTGTATGAGAGGAACAGTGCTGTCGCATCTGTGTAGGTCAGAGGACAGCTCGTGGGATTTGATTCTCTCCCTCCACCATGTGAGTTTTAGCTAGGGCTTGGCAGCAAGGGCCTTCACCCTCTGAGCACTGCCACTGGCTCCTAGTTACAATCTTAAAGCCTGTGACAGAAATCCAGCTCAGTAAAATATAATGCAGAGGGTTTTACCAAGAAACTCATGTAACTAGGATCATATTCAGATATGTGTATGTATTAGGAAGCAATACATCTTTCAGCTGATGTCCTTAAATGAAATTAAATTTTTTCCTTGACTAAGTCTCTGAAAGTTTTGATTAGATCTTGGATTGTTTGATTGTTTCTGATTTTTGTTCCCATTGCACATTTCCTCTCCTCCTTGGTATGCAAGGGCAGTATTGATTTCTGTTTGTTGTGTCTGATTGCCACGGACTCTGAGAGCCCATTGGGCCTCTTGTGGATTAATTACACTAATATTGACGTCATCTTCCAGCTCTTGCAGTAGCCTGTGTTCTCCTGGATTCTGTTTCTTCCCTGTGTTGAGTTCCTTCCTTGTGCATCTGGATTGTCTCATCCCATTTGTGAGTTCCCGAACAGTGGCTCCCAAAGTCCACCCGATGGGTTCCTGAGACTCTTTCAAGGGCATCTGCAAAGTCAAGACGATTCAGTGGGAGCACAAAGACTTGTTCTCATGGGTGTTGAGAGGAGTTTTCCAAAGCCCACACGATGTGTAATATCACAACAGCTTGCCGGCGAATTCAGATATGGAAATCCAGCTGTCTGCTAAGCCAGACACTGGGAAGTTCTTCAAAAATATAAAACATTGTCACTCTTTTATTAAAAATGGCTATTTTTCATAAAAAATATTCTAATTAATGTCATTGTTACTACTATTTAAAAATAGATGGATATTGGTTTTTTTTCTTCTTCATTTGTAAATGTTAAAAGGTTTAAATAAAGCACTCTGGAACCATGCATCACTTCTAAAAAAATGGGCTCGTCAGTTTTCCCAGTTTTCTGTGTCAGTCAGTTTCCATAGCTATATCAAAGTCTCAAGATACCAACCTATAAAGAGAAAAGGCTGGGCTCAGGGAGATGGTCCCATTGGTAAAATGCTTATAAGACTTGAATTTGGATTCCCAGCATCCATGCATAGGTGCTCACGCACACATACACTCATGCACACACAGGCAAACACAGGAGAAAAAGTGCATATAAAGCTAATTGTTTCTCTAGACGAAATTATGTCATGGATTTTTTTGTTTAGGTGGTACATATGTGCATAAAATATATTCGATACTGAAAGTGTACATTTTAATGTGAAGCTTCACAGTTTCCATTCCGAATGCCAGCTCTAACTGTACAGAAGTTGATGGAGTTCTTTAGACTCTGGGTCTGGTTAATTTTGGTGTGTGATTATTTTTATTTATTTTCAAGGTTTTTATATAAGGTTTTGTGGGGTGTTTTGTTTTGAGAGAGAGGGAGAGAGAAAAGGTTGACATCAGCTCATGGCTTCAGAGTTTTCCGTCTCTAGTTAGCCCCGTTGACTTTGGACTTTTGTCTTAATTAGATTTCTGTTGCTGCGGCAAACACCAGGACCCAGAGCATCTTGGGAAGGAAAGGGTTTATTTCAGCCTATATAGTCCATTGTAGTGGGTAGCCATTCCAGCTTTGATCTGGAAGTTCCAACCCCCATTGAGACTTCGGCAACTGTCACGCCTACAAGGCGGGGCGAAAGGAGGCGCCTGGGGACCTGAGATCTGGATCGGCGGGCTCTCTCTCTCTCTGTTGCGGGACCCTGGACTAGAGAGGTGTACCAAGCAGAGCTCCAGAGAACACCGCTGGACTGCGATACACCTTCCCCAGACTCCGCGACCTACCTATCCCTTAATTTGTAAGTTACGCCATTAAATAAATCTCCTTTTATCTACGTGGAGTGGCCTTAATAATTTCACCAATATCTGGCGCTCACGTGGGGCAAATTCCAAAGGCCTGGGTGGCTCCCGCCCTCAGCCTCTTCCCCGGCTCGCGGGTACCTAAACCCGCCTGCAAAGTTCCATATAACCAGGGAACGCCTACAGGGTTCCATTCCCTAAAGAGGGAGCAGCTAGTCCGGTCTCAGTTCCCTAGCTTAGCCCCGAGACCAGCGAAAGAGGCACTCCCCGGCTTCCCGAGTGCCGGAGCCAGCTTCGGCTCCCGCCATCTTGATTCCAGCGCTTTGGAGCTGTACCAACGCCACCTGCTGGCTGAAAAGTACTACTACACCCCCCAAAAACCACGAAAGGTAAGCAAAGGCACCTGATAATTTTACACCTTAAAATTGACTAACAAATTTTGAGTAATTCTTGTAATATGGCTGACAACATTACCTCACAAGAATTCGAAAACCTTTTTGCTTGTATGATGAATGACATCTTACTGGAAATATACGACCTTCCTAAGGCATATCTGGCCTGTACCATTTTGGCATTCATTGTAATAATCCACACAGTGTTCAAACACTGGTTTAATAACAAGAACAAAGATGAGTCATTATTGGGACTGATACAGGCTTTAAGCGAGAGCAATGAAGGCTTACAGAAAAAGATTCTATCTCTGGAATCTGCTTTAAGGGATAGCAATGAGACCTTAGAGAGAAAGATTCTTTCTCTGGAATCTGCTGATCAGGATTTACAAAACAGGCTTGTACCAAAAATTGATCTTATTGATAATAAATGTGAATATTTAATGGACAGAACACTAACTCTCCAGACACTATATAAGGAAGAAAGATTATCATTAATTGATAAGATAAGGTCCATGGAATCATGTGTTTCTGAGGAACATAAAAACTTCTATGATTCCATGAGGAATCTGGAGTCCCTTGCCAGAGAGGAGGCTCACTCCATAGAACAGACCCTAGGTGCTCGTTTGCAGGCCTTAGAAGAAACTCTCAGTAAACATGACAAGGGACCTAATAAGCAGAAGGGCAAGACCATAGAGGTTGTAACATCTCCAAATGGCTCTCACACAATGGCTTATCCTGTTATCATCCATGAGAAGCCAGCGGATGACACACACCCCAAGCCATATACTACATATACATTACAACCAATTTCAACAAGGGACTTTAAAAATATAAAGGAAGCAGTAGTTACATATGGGATACACTCCACGTACGTAAAACAGATGTTAAATTCGTGGTCTACCTCACATAGAATCATCCCAGATGACTGGCATCAGTTAATTTCAGCTGTTCTAGAATATAGCCAGCAGCTACAGTGGAAAAGCTGGTTGAGAGAAGAGGCAAAAATTTTAGAACAACAAGGTAAACTCAGAGGTTTCGTGATCTCCCAAGATCAAATACTTGGTGAGGGATGCTTTGCTGACAGGAATGTACAAGCCATTTATGATGAGCATACAATATCCCTATGCCGTACAGCAGCTCTAAACGCTTGGGAAAAAATTCCAGAACCTGGAAAACCAACTGAGGTATACACAAAGATATTTCAGGGACCACACGAACCCTTCACTGATTTTTTACAAAGACTGAACACAGCTATAACAAGAGCTGTATCAGATAAAGAATTAAGAAAAGTATTAACTGAGTCCTTGGCATTCGACAATGCTAATGCAGAATGCAGAAGAATACTTACACCATTAAAGATCAGATCAGCTCCTTTGGAAGAATGGATTCAGTATACTAATGGTGTTGAGTCTCGTAACTACAGTAATGAGGCTTGGATAGGAGAGACAAATCCCAGAGGTGAAAGAAGGCCCCGTGTTACCAAATGTTTTACATGTGGTACACCAGGTCATATAAGTAAAAACTGTACGTGGGGTACTCCTAGGAGTAATATTCCTTTTAGGAATGGCCTAAACAGGAGACCCCAACCACCTCCCGGATTATGTAGAAGGTGTGGCAAAGGCCGACATTGGACCAGTGAGTGCAGATCAAAAATAGATATACGAGGTAACCCTTTACTGGCGGGAAACGCCTCAGGGGGCCTCTTGCAGGCCCCCAAATCCAATGTAGTACGAACATTCCCAGCCACTGTGGAAGAAATTCCTCTCCAAGACAACTGAATAAACCAATGCTTAATGTAAAAACTGATACTGCAATGGATGATAAAACAGCTCTGATGGATGGATCACAGTTTACAAAGAATACTATAAAACAAATATTTTGGCAGACTTCCATAAATGATCAAAGACCAAAGCTTAGAATTCGAATTAATGGCCTGGTTATGGAGGGACTGGTAGACACAGGTGCAGATGTGACTATAATTACACCAAAATCATGGCATCCAAATTGGCCTCTTCAAGAGGTAGATGTCCAACTTTTAGGGATTGGCACCCTATCTCAGATAAAACAGAGTTCGAGATGGGTTGAATGCATAGGGCCAGAAGGACAGAGAGGAAGGCTGAAGCCATATGTAGCAAATGTAGCAGTAAATCTTTGGGGCCGAGATCTGTTACAACAGTGGAATACCCAGATTAAAATTCCTACACTTTCAGAAAAAGAATACAGACAAATGCATGTTTCTAGGAATAATATCATCACATGTTATAAAAATCAGGCACCAACCATTCAGGCTGTTCACAAACAGAGCACAACTGCTATTGAACCCTCAGAAGTACCAACTGCCTTACCTTTAAAATGGTTAACTAATAAACCTGTCTGGGTTGGACAATGGCCTTTGACAAAAGACAAGCTACAAGCTTTAGAACAGCTGGTTCAAGAGCAGTTAAATGCTCAACACATTGAAGAATCTACCAGCCCTTGGAATTCTCCTGTATTTGTTATTAAAAAAAAGTCTGGTAATTGGAGAATGCTGACAGATCTGAGAGCTATTAATAAAGTAATTCAGCCAATGGGCTCCCTACAGACTGGGATGCCCTTGCCCTCTCTGCTACCTAAAGAATGGCCTATAATAGTTATTGACTTAAAAGACTGTTTCTTTACCATACCCTTACAAGAAAATGATAGAGAAAAATTTGCCTTCACAGTACCTAATTATAACAATTCTCAGCCAGTCAAGAGATATCAATGGAAGGTCCTCCCACAGGGAATGTTAAACAGCCCTACCTTGTGCCAATACTTTGTGCAGAAACCATTGGAGATAATTCATGTAAAGTTTCCACAATCCATAATTTATCACTATATGGATGATATCCTATTAGCTGATCCAAAGTTAGATACATTAGAAAGCATGTTTGAAGAAGTAAAAAAAGTTTTGCCTCGCTGGGGACTGCAAATTGCTCCTGAAAAAATACAAAGAGGAGATTCTATTAACTACTTAGGATATAAGATAGAGCTACAAAAAATTAGACCCCAAAAGGTACAGCTAAGGAGAGATCGGTTGAAGACTCTTAATGATTTTCAAAAGTTATTAGGAAGCATTTCCAACTTACTGGGCATCATGGGAATACCCAAAGATGGACTACAAAATTTGGCTAATACTCTAGAAGGGGACAAAGAATTAAATAGTCCAAGAGAATTATCAGCCGAAGCTGAGAAGGAATTGGCTCTAGTAGAAAAGACAATTCGAGAAGCACATGTGGATCGTGTGGATCCAGAACTTAAATGCATTCTTGTCATATTCCCCTCCAGACATTCCCCAACAGGTATTTTGATGCAGAGGGAAGATATTATATTGGAATGGATATTCCTACCACGTAAACCAAATAAGAAATTAAAGACTTATATAGAAAAGATCTCTGATTTGATTCAAAAAGGTAAACTAAGACTTCGCCAGTTGACAGGAATGGACCCAGCAGAAATTGTAGTACCTTTAACTAATGAAGAAATTTCATCACTATGGAAAGATAATGAATACTGGCAGAGAGCCTGCAGTAACTTTTTGGGAGAGATTAACAACCACTATCCCAAAAGCAAGAGAATAGAATTCATAAAGAAGA